TTATAAAAACGCTACGAACTTATGGAACCACCTAATAGTACGGAAAACACGAAATGTACTAAGCAAGAGACTTAAGTATTTTGTGAGTCGAATTGTACCACAAATCAACAAGCGGATCTTCTCAAGTTCAAGGTCCCAGCCCCGAATTTCACTATGTGATGAAATATCTTGTATGAGAAATGCTTCGTTACAGTACTGGGGCCTAGACTCAAATGAATGTGAACCTTGTTGCTGGATGACGTTATCAGGGACGCGGGACACCCAGGAAGTGTTGAAAACGCTAGATGAGCTCGATATTGAAGTTGACAACGCTGATGGTCCGGTATGTATTTTACCTTTTAGGAAATGGACAGAAAATTTAGTTCCTTATTTTTCAGGAACTCTACCAGCGATTCGGTTGGGAAGATGATTACCATAATGACAGCTTGAGCAGTTGGCAAAGGTTGAAACCGAAAATCTGGCGGTTATTCGACGAGCCGGGCTCATCTAAAGCGGCTAAGGTAGTGTCTGACTGAAGATGTGATGTTAGAATTTTCGCGACTCGTGCACGGATTCAGCACGACTTCGTGCGCAACTTTACTGTACAATTTTGCGTGCAATTTTGAAAAGAATTGTTATTTTGCACATTATTGTTATTGCAAAATTATAAAAAGAAATTACCTAATTACAAGCCTCAGAAAAAATACGAATTTTGGCTGATTTGAAACCGTGCGCATGCCGAGAAAAAGCCGCTCGCATGTCGCGACAGCATTGACCATTTAATTCACAATTTTCAGATTATTGCAATAATTTCTGTATTCTTTCTAATCACTGCAATATTGGTATTTTGTTTGAAAACACATCCGGGTTTACGTATATCGGAAATCTCACCAATGGGTAACCTGTCACGAGAGGCTCGGTCAGCCAGTCACTATAAGTACAGGCCAGCAGGGCTTACGGTTGATAAAACCAATTCTAAAGCTCATCCGGGGTTTATGGTAGGTTTTTATAGCTTTTATTGGTGAATTTTGAAGTTAACCAACAAAAAAGACAATGTTCTCATGCAAAAACGAGCGCTACTACTAGTCAGCCAATCAGCAAAGGTGGGCGGAGTCAGTGCTGATTGGCCAGCGCTAACTCCGCCCACTTTTGCTCAATTTAGCATTTGATATCGGTTCACATGAGAGGATTTTTGGTTTTGGATGAAGGAACACTAAAAATTCCCACTATGCAAAACTAAACTATTTTTAGATGGTTGAAACTTTATGCAATATATGGTTTACTATAGAAATATTGATACGAT